ATATTTGGTAAGTCAAACTCCTGGGGAATCAAACCCATGACCCTGGTGTTGTAGACATGTCATGGATAATGAATGAATGGATAAATGGGTATAGTGAAAGATAGAGTGATCTGAAGGTGTATATATTTTACATGTATGCATTTGTTATGCGCAGTGCTTTCTATTTATTTAATTTGATCAGATTATAAACTTTGGAAACGGAAACTGCAACCTTAGTGTGTTGAATAGCTGATGACGAGATGATGGAAAACTATGTATTAATGGAAAAATACACGTTTAAATTTGATGGATATGTCTTGCTCCAAAGTCGGCATATACACTTTGTAAATCAAATTCCTTGGGATTTAGACACATGACCTTGAGGTTGCTAGCCTAGCGCCATGCTCTACTGATTAGATATGGCTAGACATAACCATTGTCTTGTATATTACTCAAAGAGAGGTTTGCATCACAGATATATCAGACTATTGCCAAACAGTAATAGCAGAAATGGTTCATATCTTTATTAATAATTCTAATCTAGTTTCACGGCAGAGTACATTTTGACATGTGGTGTGGTTGTTTTGAGTGTTTCCTGTAAGGAGGAAGTGTTTGCCACAAACGGACGTGCCTTAGAGACGATCTCATCAGCAGTGTTTCAACACCATCACACACATGCATACACACATACAGAGTGGGAAACCATTTTTTATTTGCATTCCCTGGTGAAAATTCAGCCAAATGAACACAAGTACAGTTTTTAATCATTCACATCCGCTCGCGTGAAGGGCTTGTTGTTGTGGTTTCTGTGTTGAATGTTTGAAACGGTCCAGTGGTTGGGTACAGGGCCCACACTGGTTTGACTAGTTTATGTGTGTGTGTTGTTTATAAAGTACACATGCATGTACGCATCCATTCTCAACCCTAGTAAGTAAAGTTTACACTGGCCACAACAGGCTATGTCTGGACTGTAGTATGGGCTGTTTTTAAATAAATAGAGCTACACGATATAGGGAAAATATGTTGCAATAATGATATATTTTTTACCATAATACTAACTTGCAAAATGCTATTTCATCAGCAGTTACTAAATAAATATAATGTTATGATAACGCTAAAATAATCAGGTTTTGTATATATATTTTCAGAGCTCATCAAATAATAAAAAAAATACATCAAGGCGGAAATATTAAAACTTTAAAACAAGTAAAAAGACAATAAAGACCCAATCTGATTGGTCAGACTTGAATAACTAACTTATGCCTTTCACCAAGCAATTTTGTGTTTAGACGTCTAATAGACATCTAAAGGCTGATTTATACTTCTGCGTCAAACGCCGACGTATGCTACGGCGCTGACGCATAGCCCTTCGCCGTGGCCGTCTGCATCACTGACGTGCACCTCTCAAAAAATGTAACTACACGTCGCAACGACGTGTAGCGTAAGCTCTGTGATTGGTCGGCTTGGTAGCGCTGACGAGTCTGGGCGGGACTGAGAGCCGCGTGAATGGTGCGAGCCTGATAGAGCGATTGTTTACAAGTGTGGAGTCCCGTGAAGGAGCTCCGGATGGAAAGTTTTGTTTTGTGTTTACCTCATAGTTAAAGTTGTTGCACGTCCGCCGGTTGCTGCCTCAAAATGAGCGAGTTTGAGCTACTTGTACATCCCGGAAGTGTTCAGGAAAACAAAACAGAAGCGAAGAAACTCGACACAGAAGAACATTTACACCTCACTGCCAACTAGCGTTTCGGAA